AGATTTCTTGATGTTTACACAGACCCAATCTTCCTTCTGAGAATACTGGATATTTGCCAAGAGCTGAAGGTAAATGTGATTCTGATCAAAACTGTTTCTGAAATATTTGACCATTTCTTTTGTGCCAAACTAGTCTTCTTATGCTTTATTAATTTTTATCTGCTTTGACAACTCTTACTAGTTCCGAACAACATTCTTGTGTCATTTTTTTCAGCTTTCTAAGGCTGGTGCTTTTTATCTGAATAAAATTAGCTAAGCTGGCTGTCAAGAAGTTTTCTTTGAAAATTCTGTTTTTAAACAAGCTTTTGAAGTTGCTTCATGAAGCAACTTTTCAACAATAGCTTCACAACATAATTTAAGTAGAAGCTTACAAAAGAATACCTTAGTTTATTGATCTCTGTCTTAAATTGATATATTGGCTGGTAAGTCTAGAATCTTATGGTTTTTCTTATGATAAATTTGGTATCAAATTGATTTCAAAAGAATTGAAAAGTTTAGAAATATAAATATGAAATATTCAAATAAGTATAGTAAAATTTAAACAAATCCTCGACTGTTTATTCAGAACAGGGGCAAAATGGTCAATTTTTCACAATCAGCTGTTTTCCATAAGCGCCAACCAAACAGCCAGACAGCTTATCCGGATCAGCTGCTCATCAGCAGATTATCAGGATAAGCTGCTCATCAGCAGAAGCTGGATAAGCTGCAGCTGCCCCAAACAGACCCATAGTAAGAAGTCAACTTCCAGTTCACTTTCAAAACAAAAAAAAATCTTTTCACAACTCACTATCTCGTGTATCTCGAAAATGATGACTTCTTTTTTTTTTTAAGGAATCAGTTGGATACCCACAAGTGCAACCATATGTATACAGTAACTGGCGACACATCGACCACAAAAAAAAAGCTTCATAATGTTAGTTTCATAGTACAACATGGGAGAACTCTACATTCCCATATGGATCACAACTTCATCAACTGTTTCACGCAGCTATATGATAACAACATCAATCCATGAATCCACAACTCAATATAACCACGAAGCAAACATTCTTTCAATAATTGTACCCAATAGAAATATAATTGCAGAAGAAAATGAAAAAAAAACACAATTTCAAGCTCAAAGTAGAATACTGATTCTAGTGTGAAATTGAAAAACTCGGGTTAAAAAAAAGAAACAAAATGATCAAGTGTTGCATTGTCTTCGTTCAGATTCTTGCAACATAAATAAAACTATTGTTAACATAATGCATAAATTATTTATGAGAAGAAGAGGTTTTTTTAAAAGTTCTTACACATGATTACCACATATTTGCTGCAACTGAATGACGAATCATCTCACCTTCATTGTTTTCCCCGATACTTGCATGCACGTTTAGTTCATCACCCGTGCTTATCACCTCACCCATTTTCCTATCGTGATGCATTTCACACTGGGACATGTTAAAGTATATGCCTTCTCCGTGATGTCGACCAATAAAGTTATGTAAGATTGCATAAGCAACACTATTACTCTATATGTCTAATGGAAACTGACACGTGTTAAAACCTGAAACCTCTCCTTTCATATGTCAAATGTTCTCTCAACTACATTTCGTAATTGGGCATGACAATGGTTATACATCTCTTTTGCTCCGAAGTAACTCCTAGTTCCTCATCCACAATACTAACTAAGATGATATCGACAACAACGATAAGGTGCTATAAATTTGTTGGTGTTAGTATATCCTGAGTCAACAAGATAATATTGTTCTTGTGGCACATGAAAAGACCATTGATCAAACGACCAATGAAGGACCCTCATATCAGTTGTTGATCCCACCCAACCAGTTGCAACGAACACGAATTGACAGTCAAATGATACGATTGTCATCACATTTTGCAATATGAATCATTTTCGATTACAATATATGTTCTATGAACCATAATCAACAACAACAGGCATATGTGTGTCACCGATTACCCCAATAACATTTTCAAAGAAAACATAAAATTGTTGATTAGAACATATGAATGGGTGACATTTGGAATCCTCAGCTGGCAATCAAATATATTCTGCAGTCAAAGAGATAGTGGCTTGCAATACAAAATTGAAGTATCTCCCAAATGTTTCCAATGAATGCTGAAAGAATTCACAAAATTGTCTGTAGGAATGAGCATGTGCAACTCCTATAAGAAAAATTCCAAATTGTTCTGAAACAGCCATATTTCTAGTATTGCTTAATAGATTGCGAATCACTAGAATGTCTTGTAATTGGATAAAAGAGTTCTGATGTTAGTCTAAAACAATTATAGCAACGTATGGGATTTCCAACAAGAATATCCATTACACACTGATGTCTTGTGTGTGCCCTATCAAATATCGGTCTCGGTACGACTTCATCATCATCAGATGAACTACTATCCATCACTCTAGGTAATAGCTCAGTAAAGGGTGTTAGTTATATCAATGTAATTATTAATGAGATTGTACATATTGTCCAATAATCTTCCACGAGAGTAAATAGACATATTTGTGATATTGAAACAAATTTTTTAGTATGCATTAAGACTTGAAAAAAACATTGCATTAAGTGTTAATAGAAAATGGTTAAATAGAAAGCATGTTGCCTGAATGACAGACCGGACAAATTAACACAACTAATCCTCACTGAAATAACAAATGATATGAAATGTAGAGGAAAATAAAACAACAGTACAAACGTGACGCTAGACGATTATTCTTACTGAAATAAGTTCGATACAATTAAAATACACTTTAGTCAGCGAGCTTTAAATCCATGCCAGATATGAATAATAACGAAGATGTTTGGCTACAATGTGTTCAACCCAACGTTGAAGCTTAGGATCGTGGTATCCTATGAGAACATACTTATTGATCTCATATTTGTTGAGCACAACCAGAATGGCTAGTGTGTCTTCTTCTGAATGTCGGCTAAACTTTCTATTTTTGCAGGGCAATTATTCATCGATATCAGGGGTCTTATGATCCAACAATTCCTTCAAAGCTGCAGCAGTTTCCACCTGGGCAGAGAGTAGTTTGTTAAATTCCTCCTTATCGTTTTTTTTTTTTTTGGATCATCGAGACACCACAACCTTCTCCATGTTGCG